CTCTCCCAACTCTTTCTTCTCAGAGCCTGCCCGAAGGTCATCTTCGTGCTAATTCCTACAATATGCTACAGGAGTTTAGTTTTTAAACTATCACAGATTATTGCAGTCCGAGATGCTACTGTGCACAGAGTGGAAAAATACACTTGTATTGAAGTTTCCCAACTTCAGTGCAAAAATAATACGAAAAGAGTGTTAGTGGATATCACTGATTGATAGCTTTTCTTATTTGTCACTGTGTAGTTGTGCACAACACCCATTTAAATAACCAAAAACTTGGTGGTACTTTTACCCCATTCTTTCTGTCCTCCTTAACGTTGTCTTCATTTATTGCATTTCCATTCCATGTCAGAGATCTGGATGGGACAGGAGTATGGTGCTTCATTTTGCACAGAATATAATGTAACTAGGTTTTATTCCTGATTTGAGCCTTTGGGCTCTATTATAAAATGAGTATGAAATAGGAATATATTATCTTAGAGTTAATCTACAGGATATTACTCTATAAGGAGCAGAGTATGGCTCAATGGAGGCTGCCAGTTATGGCAGATTTGATGTATATTTGTCTCAGGGCTACCACTGGGATTCGGTATTCTAACAGTGATCAGTGTTGCTTGTGATCAAATTGGAATCTAAAAGGACTAGCTAAAATCTCTGTGCTCTGGTGCATGTCTTAATTTGTGACTATAATTGAAGCTGGGGGACTATATGAGTGTGAAATGAAGCATTTCTATGCATGCAAGATTGAAGCCTAATTGAACAGTTTCGCTCGTTATGTAGACATTTCCTGCCTAATGGATTAAGTGTCAGATTGCTTGAAGATCAGTGTTTGCACAGGGAACTCACAATATATTCCCTCCTTTCAGCAAAAACTTAGACCCTTTTAGGCATATCAGTTCAATATTTTATCTTGCAGCAGCAGGTCAGTGGCGGCTACACTAGCACAGCTTTCTGGGTATCTTGGTACTAGTCCCTTAAAAGCATTTTGCTTTTTGCCTATTCTCATAAACTAATGACACTTGGGGCTTTCACTTGTGCAAATGTGTTGGTTTTCTGAGGACCAGCTTTAGAGAGCTGTGGTCCATCCATAAACACTAGCAGCACGATTCACACTTAAGAGAAACAAGCAGCTGCTTTTAAAACAGAGGTGTTGCTATTAATTCCTTCCTAAGGAGATTGATCTTGCCAAGGCTGAATTCCTTTTTGCTGCTACCAAAGGACATCACTTACCCAGTTTACAGTGTGAGACCTAAACCTTTAGCACTGTGCATCTGTCAGGGATTCTTGGGCTACGTCAGCAATGTACAGATGTAGTAAAGGATACTTTAGTAATTTGTGCCTGCAGCTGAATATGGTGCTTTTTGAACAGATTCATCTCTGACCAGGTCCCAGAGTCAGGAAGGTGGAGGTCTGCTCTCTTGTTATGATCCAGGAGCACATGTGACAGGAAGAAAGGAAGGAAGTGGCTTTTGTATTGACTGCTCACCACGTCTGACAGAGGTGCTTTTGCTGCCAGTGTTTTGCCCTTGGAAGGGCTGCCCCCCTCTAGTCCCCAGGGTGAGCTCTCTATGTCAGATCCTGCAGTGCACTGACCCTCCTTCCCTCTTGCTTTCATCTTTGTACCACATCAAAAACATGCCAAGAGCACTAATGGGAATTCTGCGACAATGCTGACTAATTAATGGCTCTTGACCTAGTGGAGCATGATAGACTTTTTCATGTATCAGTGTTGATTACCTAATTTCCTATTATTTCCCCCGTACAAATTCCCAAAGTTATTAGTATCCCTGCTGTTTTATACTTGGGTAGCCACTTTGTGTGTTCTGGGAGGAAGGAATTCTGTGTGTTATGGCACATCATACATCCTAATGCTGTGCTTTTACTCTGAACCATCCTTGTTTTTTCTTTCCATGGGTATATTGTAAATTAGAGATTTCTTGACTCTTGTCTTTCTGCTTTGGCTGTGGCATTTCGATTTCCTGCTGCTGGGCTTCAGTGCTGGTGAGGTACAGAGCTTAATAAGGAAAGATGCAGATTTTAAAAGAAGCGCAGTGTATACTTACACTTGTCAAAAGATTGAGATGTATGCAAAAGATTTCTTTTCCCTTTTGTGAGACCTTTTGCTTCCAGTGATGATAAAATTACTACACTTGGGGTTGCACTTAACGCTGATTATAGAGTGAGGTAACAGATCGTGGAAGTGATTTCTATTCAGTAGGTGCACGGATAACAAACTCTTGGGACAGAAAGCTGAAATTAGGTAAATTAAGAAGTAACTTGCTAACAATGACAGTAATTAACCAGAGAAAGCCCTTGCAGAGCAGTGTTCTTTCCCAGAGTCACCTCCTTCTCTAGCACTGCCCAGCCCTGTGCCTGTGAGCATCCCTTTTCTGTGCTTCACAGGTGTTCAGGGATGATAAGCACCCTAATTTAGTGCAGGCTAAAACCTATGTTTGAGGAGAGCAGGACTAAAACCTGCTTTCCTCAAATGTACATGCAGTGTGTAGAGTACCTACAAAGCACGATGGTAATAATGAGAGTAAGGGTGGTGTCAGGAGATTAAAAACCCTACAGTTTAAGCAGGCTCCACTACGAGTTTTGTAAATAAAATTCTGGCCACCTAAAAAATGCCATCATTAAAGACATTTTTAGAAAATACAATTTTCTACAATAAAATCCTCATTTTTATATTTTTACTCTGTAAAATTTACTTTCAAGTGATCTACCCTACAGGCTCACCAAGCCTGAAAAAGCCCTTGCTCCCAGCTGTTTACCTCTGTTCGTCTGTTTGTGTTGATTGACAAATGGCTTTTTTCCATCTGTGTTCCAACGATAAGCATTGTTAGAGCTAAGCCTTCCACCTTTCTGTCCCAGTGGGGTACTGGCTTTCCAATTACCCTGTCCTGCTGCTGCAAACTGATAACATTACCACACTGCAGTCCCACATTGGACTACCACATGGGAGCTGCTTACCTGCTCTAGAAAAATACCTTAATTAGTGGCTTTTGAGGTCTAAGAAATCACCTTCATTTTGCAAATCTAGGAAGATGTCTCTCTCCCTACTGCTTTTCTTGACATTAAAATGAGATGATTTATGCGGACTGATGGTATTTAATTAAAAATAGCTGAGTTTTTGTTACCCATTACTGTCACCTTTGATAAGCTTGAATGTGGCTATGGCCATATCCTTCCTACATAATTTATCTCCTAGAAAAGCTACATCTTTGAATGTAAAAGGAAATATTCAGAGTTGCCAGAAGAACACATTTTGGAAGTGATATAAAACTTTTCTTTCTTCCTCACATAGCAAAGCCATGGCGAGTGCAGACCATCTGTTTGTCTGCCACAGTTTTACACATCCTTTGAAACATGTGGCGATGGCCACCCTCATAGCCAGGAAACCAGATTAAACAAATGATGGGACAAAACCCGCGCTAAATTAATTATTGTTGGATGCAGGAGGTTCTTGTGAAATCTCTTTATTTCATGCTTGCCCTTCCAGCTGGAATAGAGTTGCAGAGCAGGCTAGCAAGCTCACCATCAGAATTCAGAGAAAAGAAAGCACTTAGTGGTAAACAAATGAAAAAATATATATATAATGTATTTATAATAAGTGACTTTCATTATGCAGCCAGGAAAGTAATTTAGGGATTTACAACCTTTCACCTGTTTTAGTCAGCATGAAATTCGATTGTTGCACGATCATTCCAGGCCTCATCCAGCTTCGCAGGAAGCCAAAGTAATGATGGTGAGACATAATACTTCAGAAGACTCACAAGAAATCCATGCAGGCATTTCTTTTCAGGTTAATATGCCTTTCAGGAAGCTGGGTACAAGTGGCTGCATTCCACTGGATGCAAGTAGTGGATAACTGGCCAACATGATCAACAACAGTCCACCAGTTAGTCCACAAACTAGAAGCACACTTTCTGGATGGAATGCTCATTTCCATTTCTCAAAGAAGACAAACAATCCTGTGTCAAGAATCCGAAAAATCAAAGTTCTTGGACTTGATTTTTTTTAAATCTGTTTATTAAGAAAGTTTCCCTTTTACATAGAAAAGATACAGAGGAAGGTAAATAAATGCAGCAGAATTCATGTAACGGCTGTACAACTGAATCTTAATGACAGAAGTTGCAGAAAACCTAAATATAAAAAGCCACCTCCAAAATGAGACCAACAGAGCAAGAACAAGACATCAAAATGAACAACATTGGACAACTGTGAAACGCAAGTATGTAGAAAGACACAGCCAGTACACAAGAGGCATCATGCCAAAGGATATTCCCGTTTCAGTATTATGCCTTCAATGGGGAAATCAGATAAATGTAATGCTTTACAAAATCTTGGTATCTTGTTTATCCTGCAATTTAGTATTTAATTTCCCAACTTTTCAGAGCTGGAAAGCCTTTAAAATTTTGCATAAAAAGAAACTGGTGAGATGGGTATTTTGTTTTTCATGAAAGAAAATAAATCTTAAATTCTCTTTTGTTGTCATGTCTTCCAATGGCAATTAGTAGATTATTTTTCACAAGGATTAGGTGAAGGAAAGTAAGACAATGAGGAATACTGAATTCAAAGCTGTGAATTGAACTGAGTACTCTTGCACTTCTACCTGTGACAGCCTTTGCTGAAGCTTGAAGACCACAGAGATCTGCCACAGTGCCTTTGGGTCACCTTCCTGTAGACTTGGGTAAATTCAGCTGCACTCCACCGATGGCACAGCTGGCGTACCATCGGGAAATAAAATCATCAACAGACATATCTTGTGCAGATTAAAAAATACACATGGGGAAAAGAATGAGAACAGACACTTGAATGGCAACAGAAGACAAAAGATTTATTTTTACTGACTTTCAACTGGTGTTAAGATTGCTTGAGAGACAACCAGTAGATTTGTAAGACCACCACAGATATGGCTACATATGCATACTCTGTCTACCTTGCTACCACGCCCTCCCTTCATAAAGGCACTAGCTATAAAAGGAAAACAGATAAAATGCCAGAAAAAACCCAGAATGCTTGTATGAACATCTATGTTTATGTTTGATACATTCATGCTTTAAATGTACAATTTTAAAATTAATTTAAAATGTCACCTTTATTTTGGCAATACAACGGATAAAATGGAACATGCGGAACACACAGCTCGACAGAACTCAGTGCATAATTTTGTCAGGATGAAGTAGTTCTTTGTCAGCGTTCGTGAGTTGGGAATACATTCTTATTACAAGGCAAAAAACCCCCACTCAAGCCAGACAACATCTGGCTTCTGTATGTAATGATCTGCTTTTCCACGTCTTCTCCAACATCTTTGGATAGCAAATCTATGTCTGACCACAGATGAAATTGTATGGTTATATTTTAACAGTCTTCATAGTGCAGCAAGGCAAGACAGAGCTGCCTGTATTCACTGTTCTATCTCCAGGCTATCCATTTTTAAGTCAGGGGGCTTAAAGCTAATCACTTCTTCATAGGTAAGTTCTGTAAAGAGAGTGAAGGAGAGAGAAGAATTAGGTGGTATTCTGCCCAAAAGAAAAATATTCCAGACAAAACAGTTCTATGGATGCATGTGATTTGTAGTTAGTATTTCCAGCCTTTTTAGAGGTAGGATCCAAAAATAGACTGAATTCACTGGGAATCCTTCTGTTAACCTCAGTTACAAATTAGACTCACAAATACTGTTATTGTACAACATGTCTGTCCCCTTCTGCTAATTACTAAAACACAGGCCCTGAAATGGAAACATCAATTGTGCTGTCAGATGACCTGCCAAAATGACGTAATAAAAGACAAAATGTAATGGGAAATGGAAGCTTTAAAAGCACCCAAGCAGGTTTTAAAACATACACTTCTAACTGCAGAGAATGTTCTTTATCATCTCCAGTCAATTGCCTTCAATCACTTATAAATCATTCATAAATCATATAAATCATTTGCAATTCTGTGCTAACGCCCTGGGATCTAGGTTTTATGTTTTATTGTGACTAACTTTATTTTAAGGTCCTCTGAAAGAAAAAGTATTTTGTTGTAGAAGCATGTAACAATTCTATTTCCATCAAGAAGGGCTTAGCTAGAAACATGGATTCTCTGTCATTTTATCCTGCTTTAGGAATAGCCCTTCATGTTTTCATGCTGGCAGTCATGTCCTGTTTTATGCCCTGCACAGTAATGGAATATGTCGTCAGCAGCTACTTCCTATGTAATTTCACTACTTAGATACTGTATTTTAAGTACCAAATCCTGTTCATGCATAAATATATGGCTAACAATGCACTACTTCAGGTTCTGTTTTCTAAACAGTGATGTTTAAATATCAAACTCATGCCTATTAGCTTGTTTATTAAACAGATCTAAGACAACTGCTACACCTGCAACTGGATCTAGCACTCCTCTAAAGAGCATGTAAAAAGCTTAGGGCTGAAACGTTGCTTATGCTGTGGTTGTGCTATGCTGTAGCACGGTGCACAGTGACCAGTGTGCCAGCTATAGGGCAAGATTTCTCTGAAAGAAATTCTGTGTGCAGAACCCCTGAGGTGGAAGGATTCATGAGGTGACTCCTTCAGTGATTGACTTGCAGCTATTAAGTAGCATCTGGTCCCAAGCAGCAAGCAGGAGCTAGAACGGTCCTGGCTGAACTCAGAGGAAGCCAGTGACCCCACAGATTGGACCCCTGGAACTGTATTAGAAATTACTCCTGCTGGCTGTGCATTGTGTATTTATGAAGCTCCTTACCTGGTTCTTGTGCCACCTACTCAGCAGAGAGCACAGATGTTACACTGAGATATGTGCAATTGCAGCTACAGCTAAGGAGAGGCATACCATGCAACTCTGAACAGCATATTCCCAGCCTCTAAAATGTGAAATATTTTCTAACTGATTAAAAATGGCAGAAAAAAATCTATGAGGTTGGGCTGCAAGCCTCAGCAGTGTGCAGTGGAGGCCAGAGAAACTCTTAACTGCATCATGTGTAAGACAAAGTGTCTGAAATCTCATTTCACTTTGGTGCTCCGTCCCTCTTGGGATCCAGTGCCAACAATATTTAATGTGAACAGAAGCAAGGAGAAATTGACATCTTGAGAAACTGGGTCAATATTTCATCAACACCACAAACATTTATGCAGATGGTCACCTTTCATGTTGTCTTACTTACATGTGGCACATACTGTACTTGAAAATAAAATATTTATTCCCCAAGATAAAATATGGTCAGGAGGAAGAGCTGCACGTCCTGTGCCAGTTTTGAGATTTTTGCCTCAGGCCTTTTCCCTCCCCCCCTGTATAAGGAGGGATTTGACCTGTATTTCCAGCAAGGACAGTGATGTCCTTCCTAGAGAATTCACCTCCGCATCCTCATTTTGGTTCATGAAGTGTTAAGACTGATCCTGAAATAATTTCAGTGGAGTTTCGTCACAAACAGAAATCGGCTGCATGACTCGGAAATTGTTAAACTTCCCTGTTAAAGACTTGGTCAACTGAAAGAGTAGCAGAAAACAAATCACCCACTTGTAAGCACAGCAGCAAACTGAACATGCCTCTCAATAAACAAGATGTATGGACAGTGCTGTAATGCTGCCAGGTTTTGCAGAGGAGAGCATGTGAAAGGAGTAAGCGATACCAGTCAATCCGTTTTGTTTGTACAGTGTCCTGGGTTCAGCTACAGCAGTCATTTTTTTCTCCTTCTTAGTAGCTGGTGCAGTGCTGTGTTTTTGACTTTCAGTCTGGGAACAACGCTGATAACACCGATGTTTTTAGTTGTTGCTAAGTAATGTTTACTCTGACCAAGGACTTTCTCAGTCTCATGCTTTGCCAGAGAGGAGGGGAAGCCAGGAGGAAGCAGAGGCAGGACACCTGACCCAAACTGGCCAAAGGGGTATTCCATACCACAGCACGTCATGCCCAGTATATAAACTGGGGAGAGGTACCCGGAAGGCCCAGATCGCTGCTCGGGTCGGGCTGGGTATCGGTCGGCGGGGGGTGAGCGGTTGTGTCCTTTTCCCTTGTTATTCCTCTTATCATTATTATTGGTAGCAGTAGTGGTTTGTATTATACCTTAGTTACTGGAGAGCTGTTATCTCAACTCGTGGGAGTTACATTCCTTCGATTCTCCTCCCCATCCCTCCGGGAGCGGGGGGAGGAAGGAAAAGGGGGGGAGTGAGCGAGCGGCTGCGTGGTTCCAAGTTGCCGGCTGGGTTTGAACCACGACAGTACAGACACAGTAAGCTTCTAGGAAACCCTTTTCAGGGCTCTAGGAGGTTGCTTTATTGTAGAGAGACCCATGACCCTATTCCTATCTTTCTTTTAGATGTATCTGCTGTAGTCAGCCTGCTTGTCTCCCCTGCAATGCACAGGATAAAACATGGCACCAATGGAAGGGCCTAAGACATGGGAGGTCAGCATTCTTCATGAGAAACCTACCCACTATATTAACACATTTTTATCAAACCTTTCTGGAGTAAAAGCTACAGAATATACAAACAGAAACAGAGGAACATTTATTTTATAGAACACATACTTCATATTAAGCCAAGGAAAGGACTTTATCGACAAACAGGAACAATTAGTTTTCTAGAACATTACTCTCAATTTAAACTCTCAAGTAAGGAGTTTTTAGCATAATATGTCCTTATTAGACAATGATGAAATTGAACTGTACTTTTCAATGCACTTGCAAACTGAATGTTTAGCCACCTTACTTCCGTGATCCTGTAGTGCAATATGATTATGATGCAAGCACGGAATTAACTAATAGAAGAAGACTGTTGCAGTATTTCTCAAGGATGGGTTTTGGGGTGACATTGCCAAGTAAAAATCAACTCTCATCTCAAACAGGATCAATAGCATGGTTTATCTACTAATCCCAATTACCTGGTTATCTAAAGAATGATCAACCAAATACACACCTATGTGGAAAATAGTAATTTCTGGTTCTGAACAAAGCTAGACCAGAATCTCCAACAGTGTCACTTGCCCCAGGACACTTACTTCAGCTGAGAAGCTGATCTAGAAAACTAAAAGCAAGACAGAATATGTGGTGACCTGGTAACTAGCATCAGCTTTTAGTTAAGCTTAAACCTGCTACGGGGACTCTAGTGAGGAGATGACAGACGGGGGCAACGGAGCAAAATCCAGAAACACAACCCTTTCCACCCCTCTACTCTCACAACACACATGGATTTATCTTTTTTCCCTGAGGCTTAAGAGTTCAAATTGCTTTGGTTAGAAACAGAGCAAAACTGTTACTTAAATAAGGTTTTGTTCCTACTGCATGCATTAACTAACATGTGCAATTCTGTTACCTTTCCATTCATCTATGTTTCGCTCCTTATTCTCTATTGACTCATCATACAGCTCTGCCTCAGGTTCATCATCCGGATCATGATACTGTACAAAGTATGGATGGGCAAGTGCTTCTGAGGCTGTAATTCTCTTATCGCTGTCTAATATAAGCATCTTCTCAAGAAGATCTACAGCTAAGGGAAAAAGAGAAATGCGGTTCAAAGCCAGAAGAGACCATTTGGAAATAGAAGAGAAGGCAACTGTTCACACACAGGCTGTTCTCACTCACCTGAAACAGTTAACATTACTGACAAACCTACAAAATTTAGGCAATATAACAAATAAGTTTTGAAGAATACCATGAGTATAATTTTCAGAGGTGAAGGAAGCTTCTGGTTTGCTTGTGGTACGTACAAAGGTTCATTATCGTCTGTTTGATTCACCTCTTCAGACTTCCAGGGCCTTCATTCTGAAAAGATCTCTGTGTGCTTTAAAGCTAAATATCTTGTGTTGTGCATCATGTACTTAACCTGTTCCTGAACAGTGCAAACTTAAGTAACTTAAAACTGTGATTGTGAGATTACACTTTGAATTAGCTGCACCAATGAAACCATCAGGTGAAAACCCCAAAGCAACTTTACAGGACCCATTATAAAGAAAATATGTTTGAAGTTGACAGTTGCAGAATAATAGAAATGAGAGTAATCTGTAAGGCTGAAATTTGGTTTATATTCAAAATTTATAATTAGTTCTTGAATATTATATAAAAATGATTTTTAGTGCTTTTGCATAAGCAGTCATGAATTTGCCTTGATGATATTAAATTGTAGTATGCTCTCCTGTACCTCATGCAAATAAATACCATTTTTTATAAGAAAACATTCACAGCTACTTGTACTTGTGAAAATACAATTGCCTTTTTATAGTCAGAATGAATTCAAAACATTTTAACTCATAATACTTCCCTACATACAATGTTTTAACACGCACTTGATGGAACTGACCAGGCACTGCATAAGATGACTCTGGTGATTCAAACATCTCCTTTGCCATGTCACAAGAAACAATTCACAGAAGGATCTCTTTTGCACAGGCAGAACCAATTGGTTAGATGGAAAAACAATTGTTCAGGATCAAACCAAAAGCCTGCCTAGCCTCGTATCCTGTGTTTAACAATAGGTAATATACTTCTAGGAAATAATACTCAAAAGGGTCATTCAAACAGCTGTACTTCCTGGTGTATTCTTCTGTTTGTCAGCAATTCAGCTCATGCCTTCCTGAGCCAGAAGTGATGTCTCTAGTCTAGACTCCATGATATTTTTATTTATTTCTGCTATACATATAGCTGGCTTTTGCTTTTCATCCACAGACTGGTTTTGTTTAGGAGGTTCCCATAATCTCCACCAGAAACAAAATACACAAGGGTTCATGACAGGAAAGCAGTCTCAGAATGAAAGGTTAAGCAATGCTCTTCTCACTGGTCTGATCATTATTATATAGGATCATACAGCAAAGGAAGGCTTGAGTTCTTATGCTAGTGAAAGATCTAGCCTATATCAGTTTGACTTTCTTACCTAACGGGTTGGCACCGCGGAACACTGCTTTTAAATCCTGTTGAGGCATATGTGGAAGAGATTCAATGTATTTTCTTGCCTAGGAATAAATTGATATACATACCACATGCACAGAGGTTAGATTTTGCTCAGCAGTAACCATATCAACTCTAAAATAACATATGTAATTTTTACGATGTTCCTTATACATGGGGAAACCTTGTTTACGTAAAACCTTAACGTATGACTTCGTTTCAAACAGTCACTCCTGTATATTACACAATAAGCAAGAGAGTTTTAAATAGGTATTTTTCCCCTCTATATGTGTGTATATTTGTATAAGCACTTATGTTTTCAGTTACACTTGCCGGCTTATTGCAATATAACCCAGAGAACACATGAATGTAACGTTCAACCAGAAACTGCAGCCTAAATCATCTTTCAGTTACCCTCAGCAAAGTTGTATAATCCAATCTGCACCCTTCCCTTTTCTCTCTCCTTTGTTGAACAGTAGCTCCACTAACCAAAGAACAAATCCTGACACTCCCAGGATGCAGATCTTTGGATGTTTAACAGAATTTATGGTGTGCTTTGTCACTGTGGCTGTGAAAGGCTCATCGAAACTCAGCCAGGAAAAGCCTACCCACATACCAGGCACAAAAATGTCAGCATGAAGCCTGACATTACGCAAGCCATGGATCTCTGGGCTGAGGTAGACAGGTCAGCAAGAGGAGTTGTTGAATGCTGGGATCAGACAGAACAAGGAATTCTGATATGGAACAGTTATAGAAGAGGCTGTCCCCAAATCTGTAAAAATCCCAGGTGGTTTCTGAGCAAATATAATCCTTAAAAAAAAACCCCAGTGAAATGCAACCACCATTTAAACCCATATTAACATGAAAAACTGACAAAACAGCTCAGTCACTTGTGCTAAAACATCCCAAGAGGCTGATCTTTTAGTTTTCAATTCTTTAATCCTCTACTATAACTTAAAATAGGCTTGGCATTACAGAAAACCTCTGACCTTCTGTCAGAAGAATGGAAAAAATTGTCTGGGATGGCAAGCTGCATTAAGAAATACCTAAAGAATAAGACCAAAATACATGGTAAAGAATTAGAACAAAGGAACAGAATATGCTCCCTGCAAGAGGCAAGTAACTCCAAGCAAGGTATGTATCTCCTTTGACAGTGCTCCTCTAAGCAGGCAGCAGCAGCCCAGAGGTGACCTAGCAGCACTCCCATTCATTAACTTGGTTTTTGTGTTCTCCCCATGCTCTAAAGGTATAAATTAGCCCCAGTAATACAGTTTTGGCATCCCTGTAGCTCACCAAAAGCAGATACTATCTCCAGTAAATATTTAAGTTGCTTAATCTCATAATTGAAAACCTCACAAACTGCGGCTAATTCACACATTTGTATGCACTACTGAACACGTTACTGCAAAAAACGTAGGATCTTCTCCTCTCCCAGCCATTCCCAGGTGCTGGGTACCCACAGACTCTGAGGTTGTGTTGACCTGTGCTAGTGAGGTTTTGTTATGCTTGGACTTTCCAGAAATAGTGTCACTCTACCTCTCCTGCTGCTCCTGATTACTTAATCCATTAGTGCATTCATTAGTAAATTCAAAGGAAACCCACCAATACACACACGAGCTGAAACCCAGCCATTTATATTAGTCTAAGGCGTATACAGAAAAGGTTTCCATGTGCTGCTGTTTATCTGAATTTTTACACTGTGACCATCACCTGCCTTTATCAATCAGTACCACATCTCATTCCTCAGCTGGATATCCACAGTTATTGCTTAAAGTGAATTCTGTAAGTGTAGCTTTAGCAGAGAAATGAAGTGAAAATTGTTAATTTACCAGATTACTATTTTAAAGAAGTCATATGCAGAGTTAAAAATCACACTGTTAACTATAGATGTTATCATGAAAGTGGACCTCACACAAGATTTAGAGAAATGAATAAATATGAATCAAATTAGGGTTCCAAAAGTGCACTCATGAAGAACATAAATGCATGTTATTTGATTCCAATATCTCTATTTAGATTCCTTAGAACAATGGAAAGCATAAAAATTAGAGACATCAGATTTAATATCAATATAATGCTCTGAGCTGAGAATCAATTTGAAATTCTTTTATTACAATGACAGCAGCAAACTAGAAGTTCACCAGGACCAACTGCAAAACTCCTTTCAAAAACTGAGCACATAAGAACAAGTATCAAAATTAATACAGCTGAGAGTCAATGCATTTGGATACCTCTAAAAAGAATGTTTTTTTTTAATCATGGCATTCTAGCAGCAAAAAATAGAGATAATTTTAAAGTGTTTGCTCATTTCGAAATCAGGGGATCTGTGTAACACAATCAGTGATCTACGATGCCAATTAAAGAGTGCTAAAAATACAGATAACAGAGGGAAGCTGTGAACTCACATGTTCTGATGAGATCTTCTTCAGAAGTTCAGAACTGGGTGTGCCCACAATTTCCATTATTCTCTTTAGTTGATCAATATCTGCAGTATTTCAGGGAAATAAACAGCACATGGTCCTTCTGAGTTTAAACAATTAATGAGCTTTCATGCAGATAATTAAGATGTTTAAAACTATTCAGCGAGACAATTCCATCGTAGTCCATAGAAGGATACCAATTCGCACCTGCTAAAGCCTAGTCAAATTCTCTATTGCATTACACGAATCCTTCAGGTGTGCCTGTACATGAGAAAGTATGTGCAAAATATTGCCTTCCTGTCCTAGTTCCCAATTTAACATATTCTTAAGCTTAATTTTAATAGCACATTTATGTTTCAGATATCTGAGGGATTTCTGAAGAACAGTCTAATACGATAACAGCACACAGGCTAGATTACTAATCTGAGGGCTGGCAAGTGGAAAGTTCTCATTTGGTAGCTTTAAAAATCTGTTTTGTATCAGTCTCAAGATTAAAAACTTTGAAAACAATCATTTTTCATTGCCCTATATGACCTGCAAAATAAATTACACTTTCCCTAGAGACCCAAGGTTATTTTACAGCTTTATTGAAATGGATGTAATCATATAATAGTAGACCATATTTTATAACAGAAAAAAATCTTATTTCTTGAAAACTAAATGCATGGATTTTTCCAAATACCGCGTATCGTGTAATCAAACAGTCTGAAGCACAGTCATCCAGACGATGAACATCTGAACGATGCCTGTGGTTACAATACAGCCTAATGATGCTGAGCACAGTAGAAAGGCAAGCAGGGAGACCTGGTCTCTCAGGTCTCTTAACAGTTTTTCAGGAAATTCTGATGTCATGTTGTTTTGCACCTGGCAATGGCTTATTTTTAACAGAAGTATTTGCTTTTTGAGGAGTTTCAGAGCACTGATAAACTACATTTGCTGATCAAAAAATACTGCCTTTACTCAGCTGCAGTTTTAAGGTCATGTTATTTCAGTAAGATACAAACATGGAAGAAATCTGCTCTGTTGTAACTAGGTTATTATTTAAATACAGACACACAACAAAGAATAAATGTAACTCACTGTTGTTCAGGAACATCTGTTACTGTTCTTTTTTTTCCTACCAGTGGGTCTCATATTCAGCTGTCATATACTTCAAAATGAAAGATTAGCAAAAATTGTTTAGTGTTTTAGTTTGTTAGCTCAAAAACATTTCCAAAGAAACACTAAAGTAATTAGAAAAACCCCAAAGAATTAGAGAGTATTGTTATAGCTGCATTTGAAGTTTTATTGTTAAGGATACAGTCATTTCCTGGAAATAGGGCCTTCCCTTTCAATAGCTCTGCCATGATGCATCCAACTGACCAGATGTCAACTGCCAAAAAATGGAGAGAGAAGTATAATGAATTGAAGAGACTCTTAAACAGACTTGCCTCTTGGTTTAAAACTACCACTATATCCAGCTGGAGCAAAATATATGTCTTCACAGTTTACCTGTCTGATTGTAGTGCATCCAATTTAACATAATTTCCGGAGCTCTGTACCATCTTGTTGCAACGTATCCAGTCATTTCATCATCAGTTTGTCGAGCTAAACCAAAGTCTAAAATCTACAGAATAAAAATAAAGTAAAATAAATAATGATTTTTAAAATCCCTGTTCACTTTTGTTATAGGTACTGACTTTCCCTGTTTCTCATTTCTGAGTTTATCCATGGTCCCTTGCTATCGGTCAAGTAAACCAGCAGCACGCTGCGGACAAGCTCATCTGCTCTCCCTGATGCATCCCTGCAGCCTATGGGTCTGCATAAAGTTGCTTCCACTGCAATGAGCCTGGCCCTTTGTCCTCTAAGGCAAACTTCACATTTTGCCTCAAATTCAATTTTCCACTGACATTAATTTGCTAAAAATAAGCAGTGTTGCTATAAAAAATGAATCACTAACAATGGGAATGTCTGTGTAAAACGGCAAGTGCCACTGGTCATTTAAACATTTAAAGACCACACAAGCTGATCACAAATCTGCAGAATTTCTGTTGTTTCCCTCTCATGTCTAAGCATTTACCCAAATAACACATCATTCCAATGCTGCTAGGAGAGAAACATACATTCTGCATTAACAAGGTAGATTCAAATCACATACCATCTGTTTTCAGCAGAACTCCCCCACCGAAACAACAAAGGAGCTCTGTTTGGGTACACATATTACTCACAGGGTTGGTAGCAAAATGTTTCTCTCCATATGCTCTCCCTTGCTAAGTTTATATTGATGGGAAGTTATTTCAATTAATTTTTTCCTGCTCATTTCTTTGCTTTCTACTTTTTTATTAGTCTATGTCCCACTAATTACGGAGCTAAAAGGTACCCCTAATGCTAAGTCAAGCTGTTTGAAAGGGTACCATCTGAGCCTCAGTGCTGTTAAGTCAGTCATCTGAGCTAGTTAGCATCTCTTCAAATAGAAACGTGAATGAAGATCAGTGGCAACTTCCTGTGATGAGATAAGCTGATGGCTAATCCTTTTCATTAGGAGTAAGAAAATTTTAAAAGTATCATTCAAAATTCCTCAGTTATAATCCAACTTAAAGATACAAAAAGTCTAAAGAAAAATAAATAATACATTAACATCTTTACCTTTAATACACTTTAAAAGCATTATTTCTTAAAAAAGCAAAAATGAAAGCATGAGGCAAACAAGGCATGAATAATGGTTGTTGTTGTAATGGCATGAAACTTGAACACTACTGTCCCTATTTTTATAAGGGTTTCGGCAATATTTTTCTTTAATAGCTGATCCCTTCTATCAACTTTGTAAACATGTATTTTCCTACTTCTTGCTTCTATTTTGTTTTTGTTTGAACCTGGAAATATCCACTAGTTTTTCCTACTAGAAAATAATTTGGTATCAGAGAAAGTAAAGCTATAAATACAAAAAAGACAAAGAGCAGTGGAACAAATACCACGCAGATAGCATAATAGAAAAAAAAAAAAAAAGATTAGAAGTCTCCTTTACTTACAGTATAAAAACACAGCACATATTTTAGAGTGCATGATCAGACCCACATGACCCATAAAATTTCACAGATGCTGAACATACATGCATGCAGACATTAAAGGAATAATCATGAAACTTGCTGAGCATCTGCACGTGTTACTAAACCAAACAGGAACTACAATTTCTCACCACAGATCCAGATTACTGCAAAGACCAAACTGCACTGCTCTTAATTCACTATTGTGTTTATTTGCTGATCTTGGTAGTATTTGGAATCTTTTTTTGTATTCCAGGTACTCCCTCACAGCTGGAATAAAGTGATTACATCATGGTCTCAGTCATAGGGAGAAAGATGTTTCTGGCTGTCATGGAGAAATGCTAAACTCAGGCTTAAAGGATTAGAAAGCTAAAGACATCTTTTCCTTCTTCAGAGTCCCATTCTTATTATTTAATACCATATAATGGTATTACACAAAGATATGTATTTATATACATGCGTACATTAAAATAGCATTTGAAAAATGTGGATCACAGGGTTTTTTCGGTTGAGGTTTGTTGTTTTTTTTTTTTTATTGCCTGTAACTGAAAACATAACTGGCAATACTGCTGTTTCCATATCATCATTTAATTTAGCTTGTATATACTATAAATATAAAAATTAAAGTTGTTACAAGGCTTCATCTAAACATGGCAGATGCAGATACGTATCACAGGTCAAACTTTCAAGATACACTCAGTATTTACTCATGGGCCAAATTACTAGCCTGTGTACCATCTGTGAGGAACTAGGGATGAAGATATTTGTGTTCATACTAAATTAAGCTGGGAGAAAACACATGTTCATGAAAGTGGGTTTTCTATGCCAAGGGAGGCAGCAGTAGCAAACAGTTGAAATTAATGGAATCAGAAATAAAACCAGTAGCTAATGGTTTCTCAGAAACTCTCATCTTGAGAGCTTTTGCAACATTCTTCATTACAACAACATGATACCTACCCTCAATTCACAGTCTTCATTTACAGCTAGGTTACTGGGCTTCAGGTCCTGTAGCACAGGAGAGGAGTTAGTCAAGTATGATTTTAACCTTTTAAAGTATATTATAACTATGACTTAGTAACATGTTTGATGCACAGAAGGACACACTCCATTCTTACTACTGCAATGAGTGAACTCACCCGATGAATGATTCCAGCTGAGTGAATATACTGTGAAACAAAGGGAATAAAAATGTAAGATTTGAAGTAAGAGGTGAGGAAAAGTCTAAATAATTTTTCTTATTTTCACTTCTGACACAGACTGTTTTATATACAGAAAAGACTCATGTCACACTACATTTTCAGATCAAATGGAGGTATGATGAACTTCAAAACCTCCTTGTTTTGCCTTATGCAGAGCTGGACATTTCAAGAAAGGTAACCATGAAGACTAGATTCTACCATAAAAGACAGCACTTGCAGAGATTCTTCTGTTGAAGGTTTCTTACCAATTTGGTTTCTTACCAATTTGTTCCGGTCTATGTTGATCAGCTAGCAGCTCAGTGAAGTCAGTGGCTGGGGAGCAGTATGGTTGGCCTCTAGGTGATGCTAAGTCACTTTCCCCACCTGTGAATGCTGACGTGGGTGATACTTGCACCCTGGGACAGGTGAGTGACCAAAATACCCACCTAAGCCACAGCATTACTTCAGGTCCACTTCAAAAGCAGGGACCCGAAGCAGTATTTTCAGTGGCTATTTAGTGTCTCTGCTATTCTACATAAAACATTAGAACTTTAAGACTGAGAAAAGCTTACTCTGTAATTGCCTATCATTCACTTGTTAGGATTAACAGCAAATTTATCTATGACCTTACTGACCAAGGCCAGCAAGACCTCAAAAGCCTTCTCCTCTATTCTCTTGAGGCAAATTCCCCTTTATTTAGGAGCAGAGATACTGACTTGGAAACCCAAAGAAAACACCAGGGCATTGTTCTTGTTCCACACCTATGCACTATTTATCAGAAGGGCAGGGCCACCCCTGAGTGCTCCTCACAACAGCCAAGAGCAGCTGAATAAAGAGGAAACCAAACCACTTGCAACAGAAGGAGCCGTGCCCCTGCTCTGTTGAGACAATGACAACAGCTCCTCTCAGTGCCACAAGCAGTCCTCCACCAGCCAGTCAGGAGCCTGCCAACATATGCAGCTCTATGCTAGTAGCCCTTCATCTCCTCAGACAGCTTCTGCAGGACGTGAAGCCTGTGCTCCATACTGCTGAACACATCTACCAGCAAGTCCAAAGCTTATCCAGGTATGCAAATACATGTTGTAATGACTGTAGCATAGACGTAAGTGAGGAGTTATATATGTTCAAATGTTCTTCGACTAATGAGACATGAGAATTTCAATTCCAGAAGAGGTGAGCCACCATCAACCTCTCCCCTTGGAAATTGAGACAGAAATTAACATTCACTTTGGAGCACAACTCTTACTATTATTTAGCTCTGATACAACATAGCCTTATATTCAAAACTGCAAAGCTGGATAATTAGCTCCAGAATCCATCTTCCTAATTAAGCTATTAACTTAAGTAAATGAGACAAAGCAATTAAGGGCTCAGTTCTGCATTTTTATTCACTAAGATCTGCACTTAAGTTGACAGAACCTTCATGCATGAATAAGAATTACTGTCTCAGACACAAGGTGACTTGCTGAAAATCATGTAATAAGTACATTTCAGAGCCAGTATTTACCATGGCTTGCTTTCAAACATGCACTTGCTTTCTGTGTCTAAAATATCAATTACTGTTAAGTTAGCTACTAAAGCAGCTGACCCTTTTCTTTTTGCTTATTCCTGTGAAAATCAACACTGCTCCAAGGAAACACTTACCACCTTGTAATGGAAAACATTTTCTACACCTTCTGCTCTTTATAGACCCGTACATATTTAATGTCAGCAAAAATATACTTTTTTTTTTTTTTGGAAGAAAATTCTGCAACAGTTTCATTGCCAATTGCCTGTCTTATGCGATTGTATATATTTTAACTGATACGATTAAAAGAAATAACGACTTTATGGGCAGAGTAAATCCTAGGTGATTGTGTGCAACACTGTACATTGCTAGGATAAACTTCTCCTTCCAGAAATTTCCAAAAGAACCCAGCTAACTTGATTATGTCTTCATCTGTGTGATGCTCCCTACAAAAATCAGAGCTGTAGTTTTTTTAACTAGCTCATGTCTTTCAAAACACAAATGTGAATTACTTGCCATATTATTCTTTATCAAGTTCATATTCTTCAGAAGTTTTTTCACTACCTTCTTGTGGCAGGTGAAGTGTCTAAAACACACACTATGTGCTACAGAACATGTTCACTTGCAACACTATATAGCAAGTGATTCTCCTTCAATAATAATTAAATAGACACAGATCTAAAGTTAATGTTCAAGGGGAGTATTCACATGTATTGTGCATATAAACATTGGCAGGCTTGGGGGTTTATTTCTGGTTAGGAAAATGATTTGGTAATTTCTGAACTGATTGCTGTTATCTCTAAACACTTCAGACACACACACATAAAAAGTGTTTAAGTACTGGCACTGCAATAAACCAGTCATTACTACAATATTTTGGTTGCTGGCTCCAAAACTCTTGCATTCAGCCAGTACCTTAAGACCTCGAAGCAACTGATAGATGAGAAACTGTATATGGTCATCTGTTAACTTCTGGCACTTCACAATGTTATTCAGGTCAGCACCCATTAAATTTGTCACAAGATACCTGTGAAAATAAAATAGAGAGCAGAAGAAAAAGAAACATACCTCATTTACGAATAGCAGAATTTAAAGCCTCCTAAAAGCAGCAGATCTAAAAAGTAACTACATATACCCATGTAGGTCCCTTTTCCATCTTCTACCAACACACCACACAGTTTATGCCATTTAAATCAGCTATGAGCTTTAATAACAGAATCACAGCTATGAGATTTGATATAAAAAGAAAAATCATTACAGTACATTAAAAGCTTGTATCTCTGTTTTCCCTGTGACACGCTACAGCATTTCAGTAAGGGGAGAATGCATCGTATTGAGATGAATAGGAAGCCTCACCCAGCATCAAACTGGGAGCCTGAGACACCAAGACTATAGTACCCACAAAGTCCCAGAGTATCTGATGATGGAGATTACCACTGGATTGGTTGAAATGAGAGTGGCTTGTGTAACTTCCCTCCCCACCCCTACTGTAACCTTTATTTTTTGACAAATTTTGCAGAAACGTTGACTCTTTTCCAAAAGCAGTGCTAGGACACAAGTATGCATCTATCATACCCAGTGCTCCTTTGTGCAATTTTGCCCCAGAGTCAAAGGTGTTTGGCCACTAATTTCCATGGAGACAAAAATACATTAATTACTATTTTTTTCTGCTAAATTGTTTACCTAAGTGCTTATACAGGATGTAAACCAAGAGGAACTCAGCATAAATCATATGTGTGAGTCACACAAAAATACACCTCGCTCTAGGTTAGTCAGAAATCTAGCCTAAATTTACCTTGTCTCAGTTAACCAACAGATACTTGCCTGCATTCCTGAACTATCCTATCTAGCTGTGAAAAAATAACCTACAGCTAACACATAACTGAACTGAAAAAGTTTTAAGCTTGCTGGCGTTTCTGCAGCATCAAACCACTTACCATATACCTATAATCTTATTAACTATCATTCACAAAAGTACAAAAATGAGCCACATCCTCCTGCGTCCTCTTCTGTGGAAAAGTTGAAAATGGATTTATTGGGGTTCTTCAACCAACGCCAACTATGGCTGCAAGTCCATTAGACTAGTACATGCTTCTTTTCAAACACCAGAGAGGTACTGACTAACTAGTCAGAATGATTTTAAAATTTTACTTACACTTCGTTAAAGTTTTCTATTGATGTTGCAGGTGTAAAAACATCCAGCAATCCTATAACCTGGAAGAGGAGGGAATCAACAGTTTATTTTTGGACATCTGAAAAGCAACATGTAATTAGTAATGACAGTGCCTGGCATTTTGGGCATGAAATTGACAAAAATATGACATACGGTCATCTTGAAAAGTTGGTACAACTGGTACAGTAGGTGGTCTATACAGGTATAGCCTCAGCTATCTCGAAGACCAACAGAAAGTTATATTAATTACTAAAAGTAATTACAACAGGGCTTCAGACAGTCAGAAATAAAGGCAGGAAAAGTAATAACTCATTACAAAAAAGCTGACACATAGTTTATACACTTGTATATTTAAAGTTATGGACAGTTTCATGGGGTTTCTCATTCTGTTGCTGTTTAGATTTTTTAGCATCCTTTCTCCAGGATACTTTTCAATTCACTTTGTTTTATTTGGGCTTTAATTCATCAAGTTACTTTTAAGCAGATGGATACTCCCACAGAAATCAACTGTAGCCACACAAACTTAGAATAGTACTGAATTATTTGGGGCCTGAAGTTCTATTATCGCTCTTCTAAATATTACACTGCTGTTAATTTCAATGAGTATCTGCCCTTAATTTCTCCAGAGAATCCAAATTCAGCAAAAGCGGGTTTGAGTTATTTTTTTCCTGGACTGCTATTTCAAGAGCATCCAGCAGCAGTGAGCACAATACTACCTTATTTGAAGAAGTTGGGATCACTTGTTTTGGATTTCATCACCTGTATCTTCAAGATGAAGTTAGATTTTCTTTACATAAAAAGGCAGCCTTTTGCTGAAAGTCTCTAAAGGTCAGTGACTTCACATAGGATGGCTAGGTCCAGGTACCTTGGGTAGATAGAAAGCTGCATATACTTTTTGATAAAGATTGTACCTAACTGAAATGAAGCCTATATTGCAAACTTGTGTAATGAAAATCCAAAGGGAAAGAAGTCACTCTCCACTTACATTCTCATGCTTCATGTGCTTAAGCAACCTAAGCTCCCGATAGGTCCTCCTCGCATGAATAAGTGATTGAAAAGGTCTTGAAAGCTTTTTTACTGCCACCTTCTGCCTTGTTTTGGTATCATAAGCTGAGCTAGAAGAGAAGAACAGAAAGTCTGCGTTGATGGCATGTTCTACTTCAAAGCTGTCGACTGGTTTGCTGGAGAAACCTGTATTCTCTTGGGAGCTCTTGTTGCTTCCTTTGCCCTCTTTCACGTTCCATACAGGGACTGCCACCGGGAGAGCTAGTCAGCAGTAACTCTGAGTATTCAAGGCAGTTCCCTTGCTTCCCATCTAGCAAATTACTAATGCTTATGATAATGTTCAGGACTCATCCCCAGGTAACTCTTCCCCATGTGGCAGGAAAAGTAACCAGATTAGCTCCATTAGTGCAGCTCCAGCCTCAAGCTCCAAGGCAAAGCTCATAGCGAATATGAGGATTCAACTCTGAGCAAACTGGAGTCTTTACCAATTAGACGAACACTGCCATTGTGTCTAGCAATATTAATCACCTATGCGACCATTAGCTTGCTAGATCATAATGCCACAAAACTGGTATCAAATTAGGATGCAGACATAGCCATTTCCTTGAGAAATACTGGTAACAAGTGAACAGGGGTACGTCTCACTTCAGCCTGACACACAGCACATAATTTACTTCATGGAGATGCCCCACTGAAGAGGACACCAAATAAACACACCACCATTTGCACCAACAGGAGACCCACTGCTTTTTATGCATTAGAAAGACATGACAAGCACAACAAGCCACAAATAAGTGCTGCCTGTTCCGTAGGACAGGAATAGAAATGATCCCTCTATGTATTACTTCATGACACTACACAGTACAATTATAAAAAAATTCAGTTTGCTATCTTCTCTTATGAAGAAAAAAAAAAATAATCTTTAACTTGTTACTCGTACCCATTAAGTTAAAATTGTGTTAAATTAAAATACCTCAAAATTCTCTGTTTAAAGCGTGGATAACACTATCTGTGCTTGCTAAAGAGCATTCAAGCTGAGAACCTTCACATGCGTTTATCTTACAAAACATTTTTGGAGTTACAAGCACGAAAATTAGGTAACACATAAAATGCATGGCATAGGATGACAACAGTCAACAGTCACACCAAATGCTATTAGCTCTTTAAGAACAGTGTGTTAGACAAACTGTGGAAGGAGACACCTGCTACAGGCAAACACCATTGACTGTGCCTGGAGTAGCTCTCAAATTAATACACTGAGCCTATAATCAGATCTAAGTATGTGGACTCCTACACACATTTGTTGCTCCTCTGAATTCATGAAGAGCCAAGTGAAGACCAAAGCCTCTTTATTTGTAAGTAGTTGGAGGATGAGGTGATGTTTTTAATATAAAACAACTAAGGATAGAAGCAACAAATGGGCAGGAAGAAGAGAGTGGCATCCAAAAGATGATCGTGATCCAGTTATCCTGTAATTCACCCAACCAATGCACAATCCAGCAATATTTTTATTTGATAAAAAAAGAATAAGAGCAAGTAGATTTGGTCAACAAGTTTCTTGCAGGCACCACGGAAGGAGTGAGTCACTCATGAGATAAATGAAATATGTAAGCAGATTACTCAGCTAGTTTCTTGCAAGCATCACAGAAGCAGATCTTCAGGTAAGTTTTAAAGGTGTACAGGGCTGTGGCTTTGCTGAGCACCTCAGGAAGGGCATTCTCTGAGCAGAAGAAAGCATAGGAAGAAAATGACTGGTATCACTCTGTGGAGTGAGTGGAAGAGACATGACAGAGATGCTTGTTCTGATAGCAGGGTAGGGATCCAGTTACTCAAGATCTGAGGATGCTGTGTTGCGCAAATACGTAGAGCAGCTCAAGGAATGAATGGTGTGAGAAGAACTGACAACAGAGGTATCCTAAATGCCACATAACTGGCTACATGGACAACGTTAAAGTTGCACAAGTAAATCTGAAGAAATGGAAAGGAAGCTAACACTTTGTCTTAATGTAACAAAGATTGGATATAACTGCCCTGTATGTAATCCTGGCCAGCGAAGCCACTGGAGACCACCACCAAGTCTCACAAATATATACCCTCTATATCCTTTCCAACTTTTTTCCAGTAGAAAGGAAATGTTTATTCCAGATAAATAAATAACATTGCAAAAACAGCAGGCTGTGCTTAAATCTCAGCTCTTCTGATAATTCACAAGCCTTCCCACTTGTGCTTGTACCAGTTTGTGAAATACTGTGTACATTATACAAGGCTAGGAGGAATTAGGTTTTAAATCCTGTTATCATGATAAACATCCTTCTCCTCCCAATTCTAAGGTCAAATGCGGGTTTCAGTGGTTTAAAACCCACTAATCTTTAAGACAGATTGCTTTTTACCCTCCATATGACTCAAGGCTGTAAAGCTTTCAGATAGAACAAAGCACTATTTTTTTTTAGCTTCAGTAACTCTTAAAACAGCAGCTTTTTAGATGCAGAATGGGAGCACATAAGGAAGAGGGGGCAGGAAGAAGAAAGAAAACAAATAGCAACTGGAGTCGTGGGACCTCCAATGGGAAATCATGAATTGGAGCTGCACGGGCCAGGGACTGACGTGGTTTAAATGAGTTCCTCTACAGTCAAGAATCTGTATCAAATGATAATCAGAGCTAATGCCTCCAGGCTCCTTCATTGGCTAGTTTACTATCATAATAATTCAAGTTATTAATAATGAAACATTAAAATATATAGATCTCAAATTGTTTGAACTCTTGTCAGATTCAAGAATGATTTGCATCTCTGATCTCTGCTACTGCCTGTGATCGCATTCTGCAAGCAGCAGGCATTCCTCCCCATATACACTTAATGCCTCTTATTTTAGACTCATTCTCTCTCTCGCTATTCTACCATCATAGCTGCAATCTAGGTTGACCCCTGAATCCCTAATCATCTCCTGAGAAAACTGTTATCAGGACAAGCTGCTTCCTTTCCATGTGACTTTCCCAAGAATGTTCAGCTTCCAGACTAGTCTCGAGACAGGACAGCTCTGGTCCCAGTCACAGTGAAAACAGGGGTCCACCTGTGCTTGGCACCTGCAAACCCTTCCTTAGAGGCCTGTAACCAGCTGAGTAAAATGATCCAAAACAGCTTCCTAAGAAAAACAAAACCAGAACAAACCCATGCTGTTAACTAGCGTGATTTAATGGGGAAGAAAAGGGTTAGAGGTTCTCACTCTTCCTTACCCTGCATGACATCCAACTCACATCCTCCCCACTTCTTCATCAAGACTGCAAAATGCTTCTCCACCATCCTCTTGGCGTTTGCATCACCTTACAAACAACTGCAGGCAACTTATAGCACCTTTTTTTTTCTTAATTTCTACAGGCTTCGGCTTTGGTCAACCATGTGTGTTTATTATACTCACACCTGCAAACAAATTACCCTTCCAATGGTTCAGCTACTGTTACCTGAGTTTCTTTGAAACTAGTTATTCTGAGGTCTCTTGTCTCCAATTATGATGTTACCTTATGTAGCTGGACAGAATAGTACAATGGAGATAAACTTTGATACCTGCAAAGGGCTATCGTCTCCCATCTCTATTCTTTGTTGTTCGTATTTCGTTTCTTGTAGGCAATGAAAAAAAGTGACTTCTTAACTTCGTATCGTCAGTGAGTATTTCTGAGACTATCATTCAACAGTATGCTCACATGCCTCGATAAGGGAACACCATTTTAGACACTTTCTCTCATAATTTAGAAAGAAACACAATTATTACTTTTTTTTAATTTACAAGAAACAACTTTGGAACAATCTTAGCAATAGCTTTTTCAGATAGGATCATTCTTGACCCAGAAACCTTCACAGTTATGACGCACTTTTTGATGTCTGTCCTTCCCCAGATCAAGGATAAAAAGCCATTATACTACTTACAAGGATGGCATCATTTTCACACAGATTAGAGACTTCTTCTTAGTGTGATTATCAATCATTGCTTAAATTAGACCAACATTTTCAGTCTTGTCAACTCCTATATTTAATAATTCTATTGAAGTTCCACTAGATGAAATACAAAACTCTTATTTGGATGCATATTTTCCCCAGTTCTTAAGGTTTCAGAGAAAAGTTTGAACACAAGAAGCTAACGCAGTCCAAAAACTCAGGAAG